AGAAAATCCTAGTGTGGGGCAACGTATTAAAAACGAAAATAAAACTTACGGGCTGTGTCCAATCTAAAGCAAAGCCGGGCAAATGGGGTGCAATTTGATGGTCGGGGCCGGCGACAGTAACTGGTCGTACTGAAGAGCCCGTAACAATATTAGAAGCAGAGATCAGGAGTCCAACGTCACTATCAAAACTGACGGGGTTGTACGCCGGGTGGACGATGACCTCACTAACATCGTAAATAAAACCACCAGAGTGAGCTAGTTTGGAACCGACACGGAAACGCCATTTTGAAGCATCGTCGCCACTGTAAAAAGAATATTATGATTTTATTAATAAAGTTCAAACAAATATTATAAAACTTTGGCTATGTTCTGTCACATATTTATTATGTCGTCATTTAATATCTGAAGTAATCTGTGAATACAAACAGAGCACAAAATATGTAAAGGTATTTTTTTTGAGGAGGGATATGCCAATAACTTCTCTCGCCCTTGAAAGGCGAAAGGGAGTGTCAGATTCTTACTGAGTAAAAACCATCCCGTTACTATTCCTGCTTACTACTTCGAGCTGAATCCTCGGCAACTCTTAAAGTCTTCTGCAACTCCGTATCGGCATCAGCCTCATCTGTGGTCTGATGGCTCTTTGAGGCGCGCGCGGAGCGTGACGCGCCGCACTCTCAGTAACCGATAAAACTAATTGTATAATAACAAACATAATATCACGCCGTTTTATCCCCGAAAGGGTAGGCGCACATTACGCCATTTAATACCATTGTACAATGTAACTCTTCATTATTCACTATTTATGTTGTGAGCCCAATGTAATTGGGGGTGAGCCTATTGCCATATCCCGGGCACGATTCCAGACTCCGTGCTAATTACTAAGACTTTTTTTAAACTTATTAATACTTTGACCGACCCGGGAATCGAACCCGAGAACCCTTACCCAGCAGTTGCACTTGCGACCACTCGGTCAACAGGCAAGAGGCAGGCAGAGGTATAATAACAATATTTGGGAAAGTATAAATATAAAATACTTACATGATACAATGGGCAGCAGTAAGAATCGCTTTGTTGCTTACGATAGTACCACCACAAGCATAACGGTATGTACTCAAACCAGGCGAGTACAGGAGTGCGGCAAATGCATTTTCAGGTCTTCCGCCTATAATTCCTGCGTTTCCAATCTTCTCTGCATTAGATGGGGCAGCTGAAAATATTACAATTGCATACATTTTATAAACAATCAAGCAATGGTGAACTTATGTTTACAATTAAATCAAAACAAAAAAAATTCATTTTCTATGTTTATTTAGAAGATGAAATCCCGTCAGTAATATAAAGGTAATGTTGTAAAGTCAACACGGAGAACTGTTTTCTTTTTGTTTGGGTGCATCTCAAATTACTCCTTTCGCCTTGTATGAAGCGTGACGAAACTTGTTTGAATTTTAGATACTAACTAAAGACCCACTCCCGCTGAGAGTTAATACCGCGATACCACATATGCGGTGACCTTTCTCATAACCCCAGAATAAAGGATAATTCTATTGCCACTACTGAAATAAATTGCTTTGTTTTAGTAATTCACAAAAAACGCACACACCTGCTGCAGCAGCGATGCAGATAGCAAGAAAAACAATGACAGCCATTCCGATAATACCCACAGGTGTCAAATAAATCAATACATCAAATACTGCATTATTTATATATTAAATTGATGTTGGAAAAATAATGATATCTATTTGATGATTTGATAAGGGATTAACAGATAATAGGTACGGAGAAAAAAATCGAAAAACCCCAAATGACTTTTAAAACTGTGATAAACACACGAAGGATAGCAATCGGATTTTTTTTAGTTTTTAGAGTCGTTTACATGCAGCGATTGATGGAGTTTTAGTAGATAATTCAATACCTAAGTGTGAGAGAGCCATGCTTCGGTACGAATGGGCCGGTTCGACCGAAGTGGTACCACGGCCTCACAGAGCACCGCGCAATGTTTCGTCGTGCGAGTGAGTCTAAATCCCCAACAATCGTTTTTCTTTTCTTTTCTATCAATATAGTGATGGTTGCGCCAATTATTATTAATATTGAGCACTGTGACAAAATGAAAACTGTTTTTTTTTTTCAGTCTTTGCCTACATAATTGGAATCCTTCAATAATATATTTGTTAAGATTTTTAATAAGAAAATTCCAAAAAAATAATACTGCTTAATTACCGAATTATAGGCTGTTGAGACTACATAATTGTCATCTACCATGTGAAATAATTTTCGGATATTTTTTATTTCTAAAATTTTATTAAGATTTTTTTTTTTTTTGGTGTACGGAACCCAATCATGAAAAGTGTTACAGAAGACTCAAAATTGAAATTTGTGGATTTCCGGATATGATGGGTTTTTTTCATATGATATATTATCCCACCTGACCTGAATACCTCATTTTATCATAAATAATTGTCTTTTATATCTTTTCGATATTCGGATTACTGATAAATTTTGTTTGGTTTGAGAGACGTGATAATTACATTAAGTAGCATTATTGACCAGTGGGGTCCGGAACCTTTTTATGCGTCCTTTACTACGGCTTACTTACGGGGTGCATATACCTTAATTTTACCCGAGCATATTGCGCGTCGCGTTCCACGTGCACCTCAAAGAGCTATCAGGGTTATCGGGGCTCTGGTTCGAAGCGCAGGAGAAGCAACGGGGTTGTTTTTAGTCACTAAGAGTCTGACACTCCCTCCCGCCTCACCCAGGCGAGAGTAGTCATTCGATGATTTTCCTCCTTAAAAAAAGCACCTTAATTATGTTTTATACTCGTTCTGTTCAGTATTTCAGTAATCAAAGAATTAAAAAATCATATTTTCTAAAATCTAATTTCAATTGTTTCGTTTATTGCTTCCAAAGTTTTAGACCATATCGACCAGACATTTTTATTGTATAGATACTTGTTTTTGTCAGTGGCCCATTCCATGTTTGCTTAGGAGTTGTTCATTACTTTTTTCTGGTTACTGTGTAATTTATTTATTTATATTGATCTTGGATCAATCCCAATCTTATACTCTTATACTATTATATAAAGCGGAAGAGTTTTTTTTTGTTTGTTTGAACGCGCTCATCTCCGTAACTACAAGTCTGATTTGAATAATTCTTTTTGTGTTGGATAGCGCATTTATCGAGGATGGCTATAGGCTATAAAACATCACGCTACGACTAGTAGGAGCTGAGTAGAGCGTGTGAAACCGCGCGGAAGTTGCGAGTGAATACAATAAAATAAAAATCTTGTTGGGTGCTTGAAGCATCAGATGTTACTTATTCTTCTCTAAAAGAGCCTGGATGGGAACGTCAGATTGAATTCCACTCCGTTTCAATAGGAGTTGAACAGCAGTTAAAAGCGTTTGTGACCCGTATGAAAAAAAAAGAATAGGCACAAAGTACACTTTCACTTGAGCCTTAATATATCTCTAGCTAATCCTACGCAACACAAATATAATTATTTAAACTGTCAACCACCAAGCAGTCACTGGTGACCGCAACCTATTGTTCTATAATTAAAACGAGTTAATCCACACAAAAAAACAAACAGAGCAGAAGAGTTACTTCAGTTTTAATTATTTTTATTTAAACTTAAAATCGCGGGATACTCACGTGAATATACTGAGAAAAGCTCTACTAGTTTCGAACCACAGAAGGTTTCTTCCTCATGAGGCGGCGATGTCGCACAGCCTCTCACGATAGTTATTTTTATTTTATTTAAACTTTATTTTCAGGCAACTATAACCTATAGATACGTACCTTACAGAATAACATAAATATTTCAATCTACAACTGATGTTAGGAAATAAACTTAAGCCTATGTTATCAGCGCTTGACTATGCACTAGGTGAACGTGCGCGCGTGTGCACTGTGTAGTTCTATGATATTATAATAAGTATACCGCATTTCAAACGTTTTTAGTGTATTGTCAAGTCGAATTTTATTCAGTAGTACATCACATTATAAACATGTAAATACAAGGTACGTACTTACATACATACATACATAACTTCACGCCTGTCTCCCATGGGGGTAGGCAGAGACTAAGGAACGCCAATTACTACGATTCTTACATACCTCTTTCGCTTCATTAACAGTCATCAATCTTTTCATGCATGGTCGTCGGTTAAGGGTACTTTTAATTTGGCCCTTCTTTAATATATCGCCAATCTGGTCATTATATGTCCGTCTAGGGCACCCTCTACCGACGACCCCATTCATATCCGCTCTGTATACTTCTTATGTGTCGAATATTATTTTAGGATATAAATCTTTCAGAAAGCTCTATTTCAATTTTTCTAGATACTCGAGAGCGATTAGTTATCCAAATGGGTTGAGAATGAAACACCAGTCTACAATCCGAAATAGTTCACTTTTTATTCATTTTAATGAGACTAGCATTTATTACTGTCATTTGCATAGAAGGTAGCTATTAAATTTAAAACATCAAAAGTTAATTTAGAAAATGCTCCAGCGTTTGTCTAAGTTGTTATATTATTTTGATTGCATAGCTTGTTTTCTATAGCGTAACATTAAAATAGCTTCAATATATTATTTTCACTTTAATAGGACAAAATGCAGCTTTGATTATATGTAAAATACAACAAAATCTCAAATACTCGGAATATATTGTTAAGGTAAGGATAATCCACCATTTGAGAAAATTTGATTCACGTGCACCGGACATGAATCAAATTCAAAATCAAAGACAAATCATTTATTTCACTTAATCCTTAATTAGGATCTTTTGAAACGTTACAATTTGAATTGTCCGTTTGCCTCTCTGTCAGTTAAGCTCAGTCCAGGCTTTTGCGAAGAAATTATCGAGTCCACAAACTTGGCAGTTGGACTTGCACTCACTTGAACAACAAGGCAGTCATAAAGTTTTACTTTTATTCAAAATGCATCACATTTTTATCATACTGTCTAGATATCAGGTCGAATGGTTGGAACAAAACAAAAAATATAGTTTACAACATTTTATTATATTGATAGAAATCGTTTACAACATCTTATGCGTTAGCGGCAATCCAGGAAGAGAAACGGGATACGCGGGCATTGACACCGTGCAAGGAATCAAGACCACATCCAAGACCGAAGGAGCAGACACCAACAACGACGCCGTTGTGGTAGAGAGGGCCACCAGAGTCACCATCGCACTGGTCGCGACCACCGGTGGGCCAGCCAGAGCACAACATGTTTTCGGTGATTTGAATGAAGACGAGACCGTAGTTGGCTCTGCAGATGTCTTGGTTGACAGTCAAGACCATTACGTGGCGGAGTTGATTAGATCCTGGTCCACCATCCTGTAAATTAAAGTATTTGTTAATAAAAAACTTATTGTTTTTTTTTCGAATATTATAACTAAACAAACCACGGTTTTGTAAAAAACTTACGAAGGTTGAACCCCAACCGGCAGCCCAGACGGGTTGGTAGTCACCAACCCAGTAGTTGGAGCCAGCAATAGAAGCCGCGCGAACATTGTTGTTGAAAGTGAAGGCAGATGCAGAGTGCACGACACAGATGTCACTGTCCAGGGTTCTGTCGTCGAAATTAGGGTGAATGATGACATTGCTAGCAGCGTGCATAACGCCACCGCTGTGTGCGAAAGTAGAGCCGACACGGATACGCCATCTGTTAATCGGGTCACGGCTGTGAAAAGAATTTTGTTAACATTAGAAAATATATCAAAGATGTACATATATAGGTATGTAAAATGTTTATTATTGCTATTTCTTTAATACTGTTACAAATTATATCATTCATTTTTGGCGTAACTTATTACTCCATTTCATCATTTTAGTTATTAGACTCTGCTATCTATGTAGTTAGTTATCTATATACAAAGATATCTGTAATTGTTTATCTCTCGATACATGTTTATGTGTCTGCTTTTTTCATAGAATAATAATTATTTATTATTATTTTAAAGTATTCAAGTACGTATTTGAAGTAAATGAATTTGAAGTAAATTGATAATATACTCCGGAAAACATCTACTATAAAAAGCATCCACTACTTAGAGGTATATTCCACTATAAAAAAATATTTAAATGTTAAATTTTAACTTATGAATATACGTACTAGAAGCAGTGAGCAGCAGAGAGAATAGCTCGGTTGTTTATGATGATACCACCACAACGTTGAAACCATGCGACCAAGTTCTCAGAGTACAGAAGGGAAGAGATGGATGGGTACTGATCAATGGTTGTCAATTGCCCACCCACAATACGCTGGGGGTTGGAAGCAGCTGAAAAGAAAAATAAATGAAAATAAGAAACACAATCTAATGAAATTATACCAAGTCATTAATACATCGGAAAAGTTTTCTACGCGTTTTAAAACAGGCAAAATATTTGTTAAAAAGTTCATAACAAAATAAATCACACCATTGGAGTATAAAGAAGGCGAAGTCACTTATTTGGCACCCAAATTTTAAATTATTGACAATATTCCTTAGATTTAGGTACATAATATAACTTAAACGGAAACAAATCACAACCAAATAACTTGTCGTAAAGTAATAATAAACAATAATGTTTGGACGTACCCGAAGCTGTTGCAACGAAAAGAGCAAAGAATATGGCGACTTTCATCTTGTAGTGGCTCAGCGACTAGTGAGGTAGATTGTCAAATTATTACGATATTTATATCAACGAAATTGAATCAACCCAAGCATAATGCTGTCAGATAAAATGATTTGTTATGGTTTATCACCTATCCAACATACGTAAAAGGATTAACAGATAATTTAAATCATTTAGATTAAAAAACCCAACTATCTACCTACCAATAAACTAAGGAAATGAAAAGTAGTAAAACATATGTGTATATAAAGAATGGTTCACAATCATGAAAGTTAATTTGTTGAAACTATTTCAATTGACTTATAACCAACCCTATGAAAGTTATTTTAGAAAATGATACTGCTCGTCTCACGATAAGTAGTCAAAACTTTATATGCACTGCTGAAACAGGTAACTTTAAAACTCCAGACATAACTATGATCAACCAATTTCCAATTATGTAAACCCAGAAGGATACTTAAAGTATGTACACTTCATTATAAGATAACAATGAAGTAAATCAAAAATTGATTATCACAATTAAGTATATGCCAACGGAATGGGTTTTTCGGGTTTGATATCTCTTGGTCTAAGCGACTGGTTATGAACAATTTCCAATTACTTGTTGTTAGACCTCACGCGGAAGCAGTCAGTAAGGTTAATACTATTAGTTAAATAGATACTTGGTAGTAAAAATTAAAGTCGTGTCATTCCTTAAAATTCGGGTCTTAAGTACAAAATAATTTTAAACTAAGATTACCCTTGTGTACCTCGCGGATACTAGAAAAACCATTCTAACCACCAAGTAATGGTCTGTTAGTTGTGATTACTTTGCTTTTTGTACGCTTTTTAAAATTGACTATATGACTAAACGCTGGGAGATACACCTCCTCCTTACTTTAACTCGTATCGTCAACTTTTTACCTTATTTGGAATATAATCTAAGTGCGGGAGAGCCATGCTTCGGCACGAATGGGCTGGCTCGACCGGAGTAATACCACGGCCTCACAGAAAACCGACGTGAAGCAACGCTTGCGTTGTATTTCGTCGTGTGAGTGAGGTTACCGGAGGCCCAATTACTCTCCCCTTCCCCAATCTCCCCAATCCCTGAATCCCCAACGATCCTCAATCTTCTAATCCCTAAAATGCCGGTAACGCACTTGTAACTCCTCTGGTATTCCAGGTGTCCATGGGCGACGCCGATTGCTTACCATCAGGTGATCCGTCTGGTCGTTTATCGGCTTATGCCATAAAAAAAAATCCTACTTTATTGCGTAAAACTTTAGTTACACGGTGATGTAACTTTGACACATTGGAAATGTCCAATGTTTCAAATCCTGTCGTCCTTATATATTTCATGTCCAATTTCAATCCTTCATTTCTTACCTAATGTTCTTAAGTCGGTGATGAGAGGCCGTTCCCGCACTTTATTAACTCCGTTCTTAAACAAGAGGCACCATAAGCTATATTTTTCTTCTGCTTTTCTAGTTGTTGTGGAAGTGAGGTTCTGTCTAAAAGACAAGTTTGAGGGCGTGGCTATATAAGTATAATCTTATTGGTCAATAAGTCAGTGCTTTCAACGTGGTCAGCCATGATGACGTCTAGCCATCGTACCTCATTTTAAGAACTCCAATGGTACTATACATCCGGGCTAGTTATTAGCGGTAAGTCCCGTCTTTGAGGATTGGCATGAGCGAAGCTACGACGTCCTCACCTACCACCTGACGTAGGTGCTTATCGGACAAGGCAGCTCATAGAGGTACCTGTGTAAAATACAGCGGGAGGAAACGCCTGGGTGTCGTCATTGCGAGGACCGCCCGGAGGACACGGCGGAGCATACCCTGCATAGGCTGAGTATCGCCGTGTCGTCAGGGATGTGATGGGCGACGACAACCTCTCGCGTCAGATCCTAGTTCGGGCCATGATGCGGAGTGAGGAGGACTATAAGATGCTGTCTCCTTCTTTTGCGAAGTCATCATGCTAGCAAAATATCTGCAACCTCCTCACAGCTCAGCGTAGATTCAGCGCGAAGGATTCTCCAAATGTATGTGTTGTCCTTTGTGTTTTATGCGTATATGAATAATAAATGAATATTGTTCTCCCTATCCTTAAGGACGACAGCAAATGTGTATGATACTTCATCAAACTAGTGGCATTTAGAAATTGGCGTTCTTCAAGGCGGTATACTTTGCCCTCTAATATTTTCTTTGTCCAATAATCTCATTAGTAACGAGCTTCAATGTGCGTATCTTGAACTATCATTACACTGACTGGTTAGTAGGGAGAATAGGACGTATGCTAAGTAGAATTGATAATGAGACCCAATCTTTTGTTCTGTTCAACAGTGTTGTCATCCCACACAATAGAGATATGAAGGATCATGGCCTACACACTGGTAGTTCTACTTTCAACTGTCGGCTAGGGCGCAATAATATGGAATTATTACTATTCGAATCCTTTATTGAAAATATCACTGAAATAATAGGAATCCAATGGTAATTAAATATGAATACTGTAAAGGTTTCCACGGTTTATGGGAAGTCCGAAACTAAATTGATTGTCAAGCCTTCACCATTATTTATAAAAATTGTAAATCAGTAGAACTGTTTCAGATATACTGAATTAATCTATCATTATTTAAAACTATGTGGGTGACATTAGTTTCTTTTGGAAATCGCAACATCCATCCATAAGTCACAATAATTGATTTATCAGATAATGCCATTTTGAACTCAAGATTGTCATAATATTTCAGATAATCGTCAATGTAATGTTATGTTTGCCGGTATCTATCTTTCTTCGTGTAATGTTTGGCCTCCCCAACATGCATTATTACTGATAATGCCATGTTCCAACTCAAGGTAGTTGCTAAGACTAATATTCACTAGTAAATGTTTATTGACTGAAACAATTTTGAACACTTTGTGGGATCGATTTCGAGACCAATCACACCAACGGTGGAGACGACTTCAGATGACTATGCAATGCACTTTTTCTAAAGAATAATAAGAAAGAAGAAACACATACAGTGTTTATGTCTTAAACTATATTCATACAACCATATTCCCTCCCTCCCTCAAATGGTATAAATGCTTGAAAATTGTCAATAAAAGGGCAATATTTGGGTAAGACATAATCTTGTAAACAATTTATCGACCACTCAATCGTTCAATCAAATGAACTTTATTTATGCCATTTTACTCCCACAACTCAACACCATTTTTTATTTAAAGAATTCTAATTTTTACAGTTACAGTATTAAAATTAAAACGTTGTTGATCGATGTTACAATAAGTTTGACTACTTACATGCCAATAGATGGCACTAAACACTAATACATCATGCATGACCATATTAGTTAATGTTATGCTTTAACGTCCACCAAGCAATCATCTCAGACATTTTTTAATGAAGGGGTGCTTATCCTTTTTTCTCAATTACATACACAATTATTTTTACTAATAAAAAACACATTACTCATTTAATAAAAGCCCTTAAGTTCCTGATACGATAAGATCAACACCCATAAACAGATACGTAATAATTATTGTGATTCACCTTCAAGTAATCATTTTTTAATAATTACTAGTTTTATCGACGTTTATTGATTATAATGTCTACTGAAAAGATTATGCGGATAAATTCAGTATTGTTACTAATGCATCGCCTTTTTTGCAAATATAGCTCTTATTTATTCCTAACCAATGACTAATCTATAAAAAAGCAAAATTGTTGCAATTACGATTTCAAAAACAGAGTAAAACCCTTTTAAGAGTACCTTACTAGAATATACATTGGTGTCCCTACATAAGGTATGTGGGGGTTCTATGTGTTTTTGTTGAGGTGGATAAATGATGCGCTTCATTTTATTTGGAGATATATAATTCTGGTACCAGTTACATGATATATACTTAAAAATGACGACCTACTAGTTCGGTTGCGGGGAGACGACTGCCGTGCGACGCCAGCGCACGTACGCGCTTGGGAACACAAAAGTACAGCGTCAACAGTGTGTCCCTACATCACTCCCCCCCTTATACAAAAAAATGGAACATTTTTTTAACAATCAAAACCGAATACAGAATTACAAACATTTCATAAATCATAACAGGTAGATAAGTACAATAAAATTCTCATACAGTCAGTTACTCATAATGCTTACATGGCGTTTTGGATTAACAATAACATGCTACTTGATACGGCGGACTCGAAGTGAACTCAAATTACAATTTCTAGATAAGCTAAACAATGACATCACATAGTAACAATGTATTAACATAACGCTATGATTTAACAGGATAAATACTTTTTAACTTTACATAATAGACACAATTTACACAAGAGCACTCTATATGACGCAATATTATCAAAATGCTATTCGTACAGAGATGCTTAATGCTTACGTGTAATCACTTCACTTTCATTTACATACTGCCCAGTGACAATCACTAATAGAACACTATTAACACTACGTATCAGCCATGGTACATGTGGATGATCACGGTTGCCCCTTCCAACACTGTAGCGGAATCTTGCCTCGCCTCCCAGTGTGGTACGCGTGTCCGTGATCTCCGTCTTCAACCGTCGGGTATGCTGCATCCCTCAGCTTGATGCGGAATATGCCGTCGCACTCAAGGAGGAAAGCCTTACGCGTCGTTCCGGAAATCTCCATGCTGTGTCTTCCCTCCGGTGGTCTGCTTTGGTCGCTGCTTAGTCAGCTTAACAATGCAGCCATGCGGGAGTAGGTAGTACTGGTGTCACTCTATTCGGCAGATGTTGCATAATATGTGTACCTGTCAGAAGCTTGGTCGTTGGTCGTCAGGTCGTCTGGTCGTCACGCCGTCAGCCCTTTCAGCCCCCCAGCGGAAAGGGCGAGTCGCCTCCCATGGTCCTCCAATCTTCCTGCGTGTGTCCGCTGTGCCACGTGTCATATGTGCGCGTCCCTTCGTCACGCAAAAGGCATGTGCACGTGCTCCAGTACCACATTTCTTCGAAGGATGCGTCTTCAGTCTTCGGGGTCACCAATGTGGGGGTTCTATGTGTTTTTGTTGAGGTGGATAAATGATGCGCTTCATTTTATTTGGAGATATATAA